TAGAATGTGAACTCATGGAGAACAGAGACTGTCTCACTTTTCTATTTGTATCCCCAGGACTTACTGCAGTTCTTTGCACATTTCAAGTACTTATCGTTTATTCCTTCACTAATTACCCTCAAGGGATTTACATTCTAGGCGGGAATGCAACATGTGAAAGGACAGGTAAGATATGTGGTCATTTGAAGAAGAGATCACTAACTCCTAAGGAATCAAGGAAGAGCTTACCCAAGAAAGCAGGCACCTAAGGTAAGACTGGAAGCAGCCAGGCTTCTACCTAAAGAGTGTTGTCATACAGACATCAGACCCTGGAAACGGCTGAATACACTCTGTCCCAAAATTCACCAGTTTGGTCTTTTTTTTTAAAATTTTTTGAGATTTGCAGGAAGAAACTTGTGTACCATAGGGGGTAGACAGGAGGCAGGCAGGTTTGAGCAGATATGTCTAATCCTTGGTTGTTGGCTTCTTGAACCTACCCTACTCCCCCATGCCATTTTCTTCCAGAACTTTTTGCATCCTACTTTCATCAGCAACTGATTACATAGAACTTTGTATTAATGATCTTCCTTCCTTCTTGTTCTTTTTAATCTATCTGCTTTTATTATATGGGAATACATCATGGATTGTTAAGTTTAGAACTAAAAAGGACCTCAGAAATCATCTGGGGCAACGCACCTATGTTACAGAGAAGGGAATAGGCCCAGAGAGATTATGGGACTTGCGTAAGATCCTAAGTATGTAGAAAAGCCCAAATTTGAACCCAGACCCTTTGACTCCAGAGTTCCTTGATATTTCTTTGTATATAAATCTGAGGCATACAGACAGGAATATGCCAAAGGCAGGCTCACACTGTTAGATTTTCAGTGTGAGCATTTGTGTTTCAGATATTGAAAAATGCTATAAATCAGGGCTCGATTTATTGCTTTGTTGATTGCCTAGATTTAAGAAAGTAATGCAGAAACTGTCAATAATGCAGATTTAACTGCAAAGCATGTGGTGTGTACTTTTGGGGGGGGGACAGGGGAGAGGGGATGAAGGGGAGCCAGTCGTTAAACGTTTACCAGCACATCCTTGGATACAAGGTAATTACAAGAAACATTTGTTTGTTTATTTTTTGTATTTCATTTTTTGGCTAGGCAATAGGGTTAAGTGACTTGCCCAGGGTCACACAGCTAGTAAGTGTCAAGTTTCTGATTTGGACTCAGGTCCTCCTGACTCCAAGGACAGAGCTCTATCCACTGCGCCACCTAGCTACCCCTACAAGAAACATTTGGGTCAGTTGCATCAGAGTTTATAATCTGGTTAGGGAGAAAGAGTATCCAATAACATGAAAAATAACAATTCAAAGGAGGATATAATAAGGAAGGATATGATGCCAAATGAGTCGCATATACAAGGGCAAGCAGAGATTTAAAGAGGAAAAGATCACTTCCAGTTTAGTCAAGGAAGACCTCAGGGGAGAAGACATAAAAAGAAAGTAATGGATACAAAAGATATGGTAGAAGGAAAATAAACAGACAGTGCTAGTGAAAGGTCTATTATATGCTTTGGGAGATAAGGAGGAAAACATCAAAGCAATTTCCAACCTGAGTGCTTTAAGAAAATGATGCTACCTTGTAAAGAAATAAGGAGTCCCAGAGAAGAGATAAGAAAATGCATCTCCCTTCCTTCTTTGAAAAGGTGCAGGATAATAAGTATGTAATATTGTATATTCCATCAGACACTGTTGATGGATTGGCTAGTTTTGCTGAGATGCCTTCTTCTTCCTTTTTTCTCCTTTATAAGAGATGGCTAATTAGATAGAGGAGGGAGAGGAATATTTTCTGAAAGGAAGGTGACATAAAAACAAAGATGTAAGTAAAAGTATAAAAAAGAAGGAAGTGAGGATAGAGAGCTAATTTTGAAATGAAGATATTGGGTTCAGTTTTAGACATGCTGAGTTTGAGGTGGCAAGATCTTCAGCTAAAGAAATAGTCCTGGGATTCAAAAGGGAGGTCAGAACTACAGGTGTCCATTTCCATAGAAAAGCAGCTGAAGTCATCTATGAGTGAATGAGATCTTCAAATACAAGGGTATATATAGAGAAAAGCAATGGGTCAAGAACTAACCCTTCAGAACAGTGATAGTCAAAGGGAAGAAAGAGGAAGAACTGAATAAAAGTGACAGAAAAGAAGAAAGGCTGAAGAACCAAGATAATGTAACGAGATTTAAAAAAAAGAAACTCAAGTTGGGGAGAATTACAAGATGGAGATAGGGTAGCAAACACAACTAAGATCAAAGAGAAAGAGGACAGAGAGAAGACAGTTTGGATCTGGCAATTAGGTTAAGTTGATCTTTTAGGGGAGATTTGCATTAACATGATAAGGGTGGAATCCGGACTGCCAGTGGTTTAGGAGTGAGGGAATAGTAATGTGGAAAGGCATAAACACCTCTTTCAGGAAGTTCAGCAATGAAAATAAATGGAATAGCCTTAAAAAGAAAAGGGGTTTGAGGTTTAGATTTTTTGTTGTTGTTGTTTTTTTTACCAAATAGGAAAGACTTGTGCACATTTTAATCTATCAAACATACATTAAGTATGTGCCTAATTGTTCAAGGCACTATATTAACTTGCAAGAAGAATAGGAGTCTAGGAAGGGACAGAAATGAAGAGGACAAGACCAGAGAGGGAAAAATTGAAAATGCTTGAGAAAAGACAAAAGCTTCCCATTGGGTGGGTGGGGAATAGCAAGAAACTTCTCTGGAACTTTAGAACTAGTGGGAAGAAAGCACCCAGGTGTATATAGGGAGCTAGGAGCTATTTATAGGTAGCTATAGGTATCACGACTAGCAAAGCCAATTAAAGACCACACTCACAGTGGCTAGGGATTTGTCTCCTACCTCTGAACCTCAAGGTTAGTCAGCAGGCAGCTACTATCCTCAACCACTAATATTAATGATTACAAATTATAGTATCCCTTCTCTGTTTCATTTCCTATTTATTGGCTCGTCCTTTAGCATCTCTTATCATTAGAGTAGGTTAGTTTTCCTTCCCTGCTTCGTAATTCCTAGGTTTCTCCTGGGACCTTTGACAAGTGGCCCTTTCTAGACCTGTTTTTCCCTATGTAAAATATGGGAGTCAGGCTAGATGGCCTCTAAGGTTCTAAGATCCCTACCAGCTCTAGATCTGATCCTAAAATCCCTCATTTGGCTCATAGACGGCAAAGATGTTATGTGCATATTTGCTCACCAGGTGGCAATAGACTCCAAGATGGACCCACAGTCCGTGATGCTGCCAGGTGACATCAGCTAACTCCACAGCATGGAGTCTGAAAGCCGGATGTTGAAGCCAAATTCCTGGGGAGCTCTCTTTGGGCCACAGGCTTGGATCACTCAAGCTGTGGACTGCCTCCAGGTCCAGAGACTTCGATCATGTGAAGGAGTGTCCAGGGAAATGAAAAAGCTAGCAGCCAAGAGCTTCTACTCTCCACTCTCCTCCCAGAGCCGAGAAATTAAAACCCAGGGCCACAGCAGACTGACCAGGCCCCTCCTCATGCCTGAGAACCAGAGGAAGTGTCCAGAAAAAAAAAAAAACACAGGAGAAACAAAGGCTTTTCAGTCCGAAGGAATCATCATCAGTCCATCTCTCTCCTCTATTTCAGTTCCTAGAAAAGGAATAAGCCTTTGCAACAACCATTATTCTTCATGCAATTCAGGAACCAGGAACCAGGGAGCCTGGCTCTCCCAAAATCAGAGGGAAATTCGGACACACACACCACACACACACACACACACACACACACACACACACACCCCCTGAAGATGGTGAATACTCAGTTTCTCCTTTACCCTTGCTTTCTGCCACTTGCTTCATCATCTACCAGATGAGATGTCAGTCTCCAAAGATCCTATCTGGGTGTTCATTTCCTTCCCCAAAATTATTCTGTATCTTAACACCTTGTTTTAGTGGAAAGAAGCCTTTATTTGTAATCAACGAATGTAGGTATGAATGCTGACTCTGCCCATATGACCTTGGGTAAGGCAAAGACTCTTTGAGTCTCAGTTTCCCCATCTGTAACATGATGGGTTAGCCTAGAATTAGGTGTTCTTAACCTGGGGTCTGTGGATAAATTTCAGGGAGTCTGAACTTGCACAGGGAAACAATTAAATCTTTATTTCAATATAATTTCATAATCCTATGTATCTTATTTTGTGCATTTAAAAACATTGTTTTGAGAAGGGGTCCATGGGTTTCACCAGGTTGCCAAAAGGGCACATGAGACAAAAAAAAAAGTTAAGAATCCCCATTGTAGATGACCTTTAAGGTTATTTCCAGTTCAAAATCCCTGGGATGTAATGATGTATTCCTCACCCAACCCCATTAAAAATCTTAGTTGATAACCAGCAAGTTCCCAGTCCAGGGTAAGAAATGGTGGTGAGATGAAAGGTATATAAAACAGGAGAATGAGGTCTTTGTGTATGTGAGACAATAACAAGAGAAAAAAAGAATATATAAATGTGGAGAGAATGGTAAGCATGTAAAATGGTGAAGAATGAGCATTTTTTAAAAAATTTTTAACATTTTTATTCAAAGTTTTGAGTTCCAAATTCTGTCCCTCCCTTCCTCCCCTTCCCCCTCCCTGAGATGGTAAACAGATATAGGTTATACATGTGTAATTATGTGAAACATTTCCATATTAGTCATTTTGTACAAGAAGATTCTAATAAAAGAAAAAAATGAAAGAAACTGAAAAACAGTACGTTTCAGTTTATATTCAATCAATCAATGCTTCATCATTATTCCTCTGGGATTGTCTTGGATTATTGCATTGATGAGAATAGCCAAGTCATTCACAGTTCTTCATCATACAATATTATTATTATTACTGTGTACAATGTTCTCCTGGTTCTGTTCACTTCACATCAGTTCATTAAGTCCAACTTTTTCTGAAATCATCCTGCTTGTCATTTATTATAGCATAATACTCCAAGAATGGGCATGTTAAATGGCGAGTGAAAGTGAATAATATCAGAAAATATGGAGAAATGAAGGATTCAAGATGACTGGGAGAATATAGAGGGAACTTCTGTGGTTTATTGACCTAATAAAATCAATAACAATTGTATTTATAGGTACAGTTTACAGGTACCTGCTCCCTCCATAGAGGGCAGGCTTGGACTGGTAGGATAAGAAAGGGTCAGTCTCTGCCCTCCTACACACATATTCCTCATTTTACAGATGGGAAAACTGAGGCCCAAGGGGACGAGGAGTCCCTGGAATTCAGGGATTCACAGTGAGTTGGGCCCCTTGGCCCCAGAGCCAAAAGAAGGGGAGGAGCTCCTCACAGAAATCCTCTGAGAAAGTAAAGATGAGAGCTCCTGTCTCAGCATCTGAAAAGGTTAGGCTTCCCCCCTCATAATCCAGAGAGACTTCCAGCCTCTTAGGGGGCCTACTTAGAGTCAGTGGAGTCTCTGGGGTTGTGAGCGCTTCATAACACCCCTTCAGCATCTGGATAGCCCAGATCCCTCCTGAGGGGACAAAATGGATCTCCCCCTTCCTTCTCCCAGAGGCCCTGGAGACCCCAACAGCCCAGCCTTCCATGGAGCCTGCTCCTACACACACCTCCCAGCAATGCTTCCCCGAGCTGAAAGCTTCGTGGCCCAGCACACAGAAATGGGAGTCGAATCTCTCAGCACTGTAGGGTAACTTCTGTGGGGTTTCCCTGAAGTACACGGTCCTCTGATCCAGGGAGATAAACAGATGAGGGTTGGCTGTGTCTGGGTTAAGAGTCAGCAGCACTACTTGAAAGTAAGGAGAGAGGGAAAAGGATGAGGAAAGAGGATGTGGGAGAGAGAGAGAGAGGTAGGGAGATCACTGGCAAAAGAGGGAGGAGGTGGGCAAGGGGAGAAGGGGAGGAGGAATTAGGAAGAGTGGGAAGGAGGGGAAAAAAATGGTGTTAGAGGTGTGGAAGCTAGTCTGCCATGGAGTAGCTCATGAGTTCATGACCCCCCCCCAGAGGAAGAGCATCTTCCTCGTTCATTTTTCTCTCCAGTCAGCCCTCGATGACAGAACAAATAGCTTCTGATGTTAGAACTGCAATATACGGGAGGCCTGGTCTCTTAACCAAAGACATCATCATTCACTCACCTTTCCTTTTCTCCAGTTCTGATTGAAGACACTCTAGGAGGGAAAAAGAGAGAAATGATGAGCTTGTCTTTTCTATGGAGACATTTCTCCTCACTCATGTTTTTGGACTTAGGTTATAACACACACACACACACACACATAAAATCACACAGTCACATGTAATCAATCATACACAACCAGGCACATACAATCACAGTCACAGGCCACAATGTATGCAACATTCCTTACAAACACAGTTACAATCATGAGTTGAAATCTGTAACCTAAAAATGAGTAAAGGATTATTTTTCTCTTTCGATCAAACCTACTTAAGTTTGATTGTAGGCTAACATCATGGCATGGTGGATGGAAAGCGGGTCTCAGAGTCAGGTAGACCTGGATTTAAGCTCTGCCTGTGCCACGTACTGATGTTAGTAGAGGCATTTCCTTATCAGGAGCTCCTTCTGCCAGTGAAATCACAGGTTGGCTCCAAAACCCCTTCAGCTTAAACCTTGAACTGTGATTTTGGCCACGGGTGAGGTGTGATGCCACCTGGTGACAGCACCCTGGAATTACAAGCTCAGTTCTGTCCAGAGGTGAGCAAACTTTTCCAAGTTTAAATCAGAAGCTCTCAATTATGAAATGAAAGCACTAATAGTCGTAGAATCATAGATCTCCAGCAGGAAGGGCTCCTGAATCCATCTTATCAAGCTCCCTCACCTTCCAGATGAGAAAACTGAGTGAAGCCTAAGGAGGTTAAGTGACTTTGCCCAAGGTCACACAGAGAATAAGCATCAGAGGTGGCATTTGAACTCAGGTCCTCTAAGTCCAGAGCTAGTGCTCCTTCTACTATACCGTAAATGTGTGCATATATATGAATACAGTATATACATACTATAATATGAAGATATATGTGCACATATACACAGCATCTACATGTATTTATATATTTACACGGTATACAAATATATATCTCATATATACATGTGGATATGTGCACATACATACATATGTGTATGTGTATTATGCGGAAGGAACTACATATATGTACATATATAATACAGTAGGAAAAGCATTGGCTTAGGGTTCAAATGCTTCTCTGATGCTTATTCTCTGCCTGAGTTTGGGCAAGTCACTTAACCTCCTAAACTTTGCTCAATTTTTTCAGCTGTTAAGATGGGAGTGTTTAGTGATAGAGGCAATGAGGCTGGCGTTGTGATTTTACCAGTGAAGGGAGCTCCTGGTGAGAATTTTCCTCTACCAATTTAGATTTTGCTTTCTAGTTGTAGACATATCTACACACAATCAAAATCTCACACACAAGTATAATCTAATGTCTCAACACACATATGCACACATGCCTCTCTGCTGTGTTCTGTCTTCCCTCTCTTCCTCCT